CCTGGCTGAGGGGGCAGTGGGGGGTGTCCCGGGGTCCCCAGAGGGGCAGGGGGGCTCGGCTGGAGCCCAGATGAAGGGCTGAGCACAGTTTCCGCCGCACCCTGCCTTCACCCTTCCTGTACCCCCCGCAGGAAACAGCCCCAGCAGCCCTCGCCCGGCGCCCACCAGCCCAGAGCCAAAGCTTGGTGTGCTTGTTTTACACACTTCTGGTCCCCGCCAGCTCCAGGTAAGAGCAGGCTTTGAGCTGGGGGGGGGGGCTGGGGTGGATTTGCACTTGGGGATGGGGGGAGATGGAGGGAGGAACCGACCCGCGCCTGCTGATGCTGGGGAGGTTGGAGCAGCACCCAGCAGGGCTGTGGTGGGCAAGCTTCATGCCTGGGGCAGGGAGAGGGGCACACAGGCAGGCAGAGACCCCAGGCTGGGGGCACCAGGGGGGCCTGCCTCTGCTGCAGCAGCTGCTGTGTTCTGTGTTTGCTTTGTTCCTGTCTGATATTATCTTCTAAAAGGCTGAACGGGTAGTTTACAGGATGCATGACAGGTGGTTTTTCCTTATTTATGGTGGGGTCCGGTTTATTTTTAAAGCCTGCGTCCCACCTTATCCTGTGCGCCGTGCCGGCCGATGTTATCCGCAGCCACCCCACGGCAGGAGGCCGAGCAAAGCTGGGGACAGGACATGGCTCTGCAGCAGAGTGAGGGAGGGCAGGAGGGCTCGTTTTCATGGAGAACTGCTATTTTGAGCCCTGCAGTGGCAGGAAATAGCTGCAAGCTAAAACCAGATGCAGGTGCCTCTAGTCGCATCCCAGCTGTGACAGTGGGGAGAGCACCAGGGAAGGGGTCAAGAAGCCCAGCAGGGGCCATGGGGCTCCATCAGCTGGGCAGGAGCTACTGCACAGAGAGTTTTCCAGAGGCTTCGGGTGCAGCACGTCGTTAGAAAGGTGCACAGCCAGCCAGCTATTGTGTCTGCCGTTCAAAAAAGCAAAGCTGAGCAAACAGAGATCATGTCTTTTCTGGAAAAGTGGCTGCTTTCTGCATTGTAAATGCTGAAGAGAAAGATCTGGGAGTCCTGGTGGATAGTAAACTGTCCATGAGCCAGGAATGTGCCCTTGTTGCCAAGAGGGCCAATGGAATCCTGGGCTGCAGAGGGAAGAGTGTGGCCAGGAGGTCGAGGGAGGTCATTTTCCCCCTCTGCTCTGCACTGGTGAGGCCACAACTGGAATACTGTGTCCAGTTCTGGGCTCCCCAGTTCAAGAGAGACAGGGAGCTACTGGAGAGAGTCCAATGTAGGGCAACTAAGATGATTAAGGGATTGGAGTACCGCCCTTATGAGGAAAGGCTCAAAGAGTTGGGGGTCTTTAGCCTGGAGAAGAGAAGACTGAGGGGAGACCTTATCTACATTTACAAGTACCTAAAGGGTGGGTTGAAGGATGATGGAGCTGGACTGTTTTCAGTGGTTTCCAGTGATAGGACAAGGGGCAACGGGCACAAGCTGGAACACAGGAAGTTCCATTCAAATACAAGGAAAAACTTCTTTATGGTGAGGGTGACGGAGCACTGGAACAGGCTGCCCAGGGAGGTCGTGGAGTCCCCTTCTCTGGAGATTTTCAAGACCCGCCTGGATGCAGTCCTGAGTGATGTGCTCTGGGCAATCCTGCTTTGGCAGGGGAGTTGAACTAGACAATTTCCAGAGGTGCCTTCCAACTCTGACAATTCTGTGATTCTGTGATCACCAAGGATGGAGGTGCCCCCACCTCTCTGGTCCATGTCCCCCTGTTGGACCCATACACACTATGAAGGTATTTTTTTTTCCCCTTAATATCTAATAAGACTTTCTCTTGCTGCAAGTTGTGTCCATCAGCCGTTGCCTTTTGCCTGCTCACTCCAAAATGCCCCTGGAGGTGTATTTAAATGCCCCATCAGCCACACTAAGAGCAGGGGGTGCTGCCTGCACAGCCTCCATGTACACCGCAGTGCTGGCTGGTGGCTGCTCTCACATTGCTCCACCTAAAACCAAGACAGTTAGTCAGAGCCAAGTGTGAATTCCCCGGGGCTCTTTGGCTTGACACGTCGGACAAAGCAGGTGTCACCAGGGTTGTGGTTTCACTGTGACAGCACATCTGGCATTGCCATCTCTGCCTGGGTGGGTAACCTGCCCCCCACCACCAAACTCACATCCCTGTGCTGCCCAGGGGAGACAGCAGTGGGCATGGGGGCCGCTCGCAGAGCTGAATGAGGACCACAGTCCTCCAGCCTTTCTGAAAGCTGAATAGATGGTTTACACTTTTCTTTGCCCAGAAAAAGCCTTTTTCTTTTTTTTCAATGTCTCAAAAAATTTAGGCAGAAAAAAGCACTGAGCAGTGGCGCTTTTTGGCAGCATAACAGTTGTGATTCTTCGTATTTCTGTCAGGTTTAGGGAAACATAAGCAAGAAAATCACCTCTCCCGTACAGGGAAGAGGTCTTGTGTAGCCTGAAGGCCAGAATCCAGGCTTGGGCTTAAATGGGGCTCCATTTCAATGGCAGGTGTGTGAGTTTTGGTCCAGCTGCGGCCAATCATGACATTTAGGGACTCCTGGTGCCCTCAGATCCTGCCATATACCCCTAACTTTAAGCACCCAAGAGGTGTAAAATGCTGGGTGCCACATATTGCACAGGGCTACATGGCTCCTTAAAACCTCCAGAACCCAGTGAAGCAATGTAGGGAGACATTGCAGAGCACTCCAGAGCCCCCAGGTTTTTGGCCTTTTCCTGAAAGCTACCTCAGCCTGGAGAGGTAGGAACTGTCCTACCTCCAGGGGCAGAGGGGAGACAAAGAAATGCCACCAGGCACCACGTCCTGCGTGCTGTGACACCCTGAGCTGCCAGCAGGGAGAAGATACTGTATCCTGCGGGAAAACGCCTCAGGGACCTGGAGATTATCAGAAACAGAAGCAGCTGTGAAGATGAAAGATGGAGCACGCGTTCCCCATGCAAATCATTGCGCACACATCAACCTACATTAATGCAGCAGGCTGCAAACGATGATTTATAAACCGCCAGGACATGTTGCTGCTGGTGGCCCAGGCTAGACGCATGATCCAGAGGAGATGAGGAGCTCTGTGGTGACTGGACTTTCTAGGAGAAGGGTGGGTGGCTCAGAGGTGATGTTGGGTGCTGATCAAGGAGGTGAGGAAGGACTTGTGGCCTGAGCCTGGCCTCATCTGCACTTTGACTTCATGGAGACCCCAGCAGCAACAATGCTGGAGAGCAGCACCTCCAGCTCAGGGGATCTCCTTCTCCCCCTGCATCATTTCCAGATGTCTCCACACGCCCAAGGCAGGTAAGCAGCATTCATCTGGCCCCCACGGGCTCACAGCCATGAAGGACTGAACTTTGTCTGCCCTCTTCCTATATGGACACCTCTGAACTGAGCTGCTGCCAGGAAAGAAAGCCCAGGCAGCTGTGGCCACAACACTCTGCAGACAAGGCCAGCTAGGCTTGCAGCACATGGGGTTAGAGATGGCCTTTCCCCAGTCCATCCAGGATGGTGGATGATGCCATCTACCAGCACACTCCATCAAACTCAGGGGTGCTCTGGCCTTACACAACCACTGTGTTACAATCAGTACTCACCAAGTGACTCAAGCCGAGTGGGCTGTTTCACAACCGGCCCTGGTCTATTTATAAGCCCCTACTCAAATGGCAAAAGAATCCTTTTTATTAGTCAAAGCAACCTCCTGCAGACAAGGCTGAGCGGAGGCTTTGCTTTTTGAAATAAAGCTCAAAGAAGAGGATCTCTCCAGCTTCTGCGAAGAGGAGAGCTGGCTCTTTGCAAGCTCAAGGCAGTTTTGGAGCTGAGCCCCATCCCAGCAGAGCCCTGGGTACCACATGGGTTAAGGCGAGTTATCCCTCAGCCAGGAAAACAGTTGGGTGCAAAGCTACGCCGGAGGGGTGCAACATGATGGAGGTGCCTGGGTTACATCCCAGAGCCAAGGAGAAGCAGAAGCTGGACTGCAAGGTGAAGGCAGGGCAGGTCTGCAGCAAACAGCCCAGAGAAGTCCCAAGGCGGGCCAAGGGCTCCTGGCAGTCCTGGAGAGCCAGCAACACCAACCGGCCCACCCGACAGAGACGGGCCAGGCAACTCGGACAGCAGGAGAGCAGATCAAGAAAGGCCACATTTTTGCATGGGACTCCTCCCCCGCCAACACCCCACAGCCTGGTTTCGGAAACACCAAAATGATTCAGCATCAAGGGACTTCTGCGTGCTTTGTGGGGGCAACGCCTCGTGTTTTGGTGGACCGAATTGTCAGCCTCGACCCTTTGCTACGCGGGAGCAAACCTGGAGCCCTGCAGAAGAGGGGTGTGGGACTAAGCCAGGCTGCACTTACTTGTTTTGCTTGTTGCTTTTGTGCCAAGTCTGCCAGAGATTTGTGAAAAGCACAAGTGGGACAGACGTTACCCTAGAGGAGAATGTGGGCTCCTTGCTTCTGCCATTGCCATGAGCACTGGGGCAATGGACAAACACAGGGTACGGTCCTCCGAGGACGGACCCTTCACTTACACACCAAAAGACAAACAAACACACAGTTCAGCAGTGCTCAGGAACAACACAACTAACTTTTTCTGCCCATGCCCATACAACATTAAATGTTAGTAAAAACAAAGCAACTTACCTGCTCATTCCCAGCTTTGGGTGATGTCTGGCAACGCTGCTAGGAGGAGGACCAGGACACCGATCAGGAGGGAAAATAGGGTGATTATTGGGCCCAAGCCCATTCCCCCGAAAGATCCTGCATCTTCTGGTTTGTGATTCCCCTGCGCAGACTTGCCTGGTCACTGGGGAGAGGGAAAAAAAATAAACAAAAACAAACCACGAGGCTGGACACCAGATACTGTCCCCTCACCCAGAGAAGAAATAATGTTTTTTAATTAATATCTTTAAATTAACCCCCCCCTCAGCATGCCTGCTGCTGTGACATCACTCCCAAGTGACGCCCAGGCCTAAATAGGGTTGTAAACAGGAATCGTCCCCATGGGAGTCACGCTGGCTATAAATACAGCAGCAAGGGAGTGCTGAGCAGAGGACAGGCTGCAGCTTCCTGCCAGCTAAGGATGGTGAGACAGCTCAGCTGAGCCCTGTTGGCGGGCGATCGCCACAGTGGGGAAACCAAGGCAGGAGCTGCCGGGAGGCTGGGGCTCCCAGCTGAGCTCCCCAGGATGCCTTTGGGAAGGGAGTTGTGCCCTGCTGCAGCCAGAGGCCACTGGGGAGGGAGGAGCTGGTGGGGACATGGATGGCAAATCTGGGGCTCAGCAAGTGCGGCCCCACTAGCCGCTCTCAGCCTGGGCAGTGACACCAGCCCCTCTCCACAGTGCCTGGCCCCGTAGCCCTGCCCCAGGAGAAGATGGCCACAGAGAAGCCAGTGACTCCCACTGAGGAGCAGCTGGAGATCCTGGAGTACAACTTCTGCAAGGTGAACAAGCATCCTGACCCCACCACGCTGTGCCTCATTGCGGCTGAGACCGGGCTCTCCGAGGAGCAGACCCTGGTGAGTGTGGATGCCATCCCCACCTTCCCCAGCCCACACTCCCCCCACATCTCCTGCCTGTCCTGTCCCTGGCTCTCTATCACACCCCTGCACCCTTCTGTCCCCCGACATGCTTCCTACTGCACCCTTTGCACCCCTCTGTGCCCCACAGGTTCCCTTCTTACACTCTCTGTCCCACTCTGCACCTCACAGTGCACCCACAAGTCTCCTCTGCAGCCCCAACCCCACTCTGCATCCGTAGAGCTCCATCGCTCTGCCCTGTACCCCACATTCTCCCTGCACCCCATGTGTTCCTGCCCCTGTGTGCCCAAAACCTCTGCCCGTGTAATCACAGCCCCTTCATCCCACAGCCGTGGCCTCCTGCACAGCAGCCCTGTGCCCCACTGGGATCCTTGTGCCCCCCGTCCATGGGACCCCCATCCCCAGCCTGGGTTTGAAGACCAAGCTAGTGCTTCCCACAGCCAGAACCAGGGCACGTGCTGAGGGTCACAGGCTGGCTCTGCAGCCCTGAGTATACAGCCCATGCATGCTGTCCTTTCCTTCCAACCCATTTCTGATAGTCTCGGGTGCCCAAACCACTGCTGGCTTTATGGTTTGAAGAAACTACCGTCATTTTAAACCAGACACAGGATAGATAAAACTCCTGCAGATGTGTTGTGGGATGTGCTCAAGCTGTGCACCTTACGCCTCGTTGCAATTAGCTACTTCAGCATCCCCAAGCCCAGATGTTGGGCAAGTCTGTCAGCCTCTCCAAGAGACATAGAGACCTCCAAATGTCCCTCCACAGGGACAGACTGCCACTGTCTGGGATTTCCACTGAGCCCTGTGCTCCATCTGGCTGCCTGCAGGCTACCCTGGGCTTCAGAAGCAAACGGCTCCTTCCCAGTTCCTTCAGGTTGTGGTGCAGCTGTTTTTGATGCAGGTGTTTTATAAACTACTAGACCCCTGGCGTCATTGATGGGTATAGAAAAGAAATCCAACCCGCTGAAAAGTTAGCAGCATTCTGCAGAGAGCTGCCAGGCCTGGCTCTCCCTGGGTGATGCCAAAGGGACATGACAGCCAAGTAGGCAATGCCAGAATTTAGCCTGTCCCAGTATGTCTGAAATACCTTTTCCTCCCTAGAAACAGCACTGCTCCACGGCTGTTTTTTCTCCTAAAGTTGTAAACACAGGCCATATATGCCCAGGATAACTGCAGGTGTCTTCAAATTTTCCCCATTAGCCATCTTTTTCCACAAATCCAGGGTGCTCCTGGAGATCAAGGTCATGTTAGGGACAGGGTCGAGACTGGGACGATGAGCTGCAAAGTGCCTGCATTGTGTATGACACAGAGAATTACTGCTCTTGACATCTGGAGTGCTTTATCAGCTAGATATAGCAACCATCTTAATAAAAAATTCAGTAAAAATGAGATGCAAAGAGGTACTGAGTCAACAGGAGACGATCGTTTAGGATAGGAAGTGAAATTTTTGGGAGGAGGCGAGGCAAGCAATCATCTGACTGGACGTGGTCCAAGGCAGTGCTAGTGCGAGAGCCGCTCGTGGAGAGAGCACTGTGGTTGTACCATTACGGACCACAATAGCTTCAAAAATAGCCATGAACAAATATAGCAACCAGATGAGCAGCAACAAAGCGAATCACAGGCGCGTTCCCAAACAAAAGGCTGAGCTGTGCTTCCGGCACACGAGTTATCTCTCTCCTCTTACGGGGGTTGTGGGGCTTTATCCAGCTGCATATTATCTAACACTTTAAATTGTGGCTGTGTTGAAGTGGCACCAGCAGCTCTGCGAGTTAGCTTAGGGATGCTAAATAACTACAGCATAACGTAGCCACGCACGTTGCTTGAAGACTAAGATAATTTTTAACCCATTTTTAAAGTCTATTTGTCCTTAAACCTGCTGAGAGCGACTCTGTTGTCCCTCTCATCCCTTCTGAAGCAGGTCGGCTTTGGGTTCCTGTCATTTTTGGCCCTGCAGTGATTGTTTCACTGCTCCAGCCGGTTAAACAAACACTATCCAGCAGCTCCTGAGCCAATCTCTTACTGTGTTTGCAAGAACTCACAGCAACAAAACAAAGACTCCCCCATGCTGTCAAGGTCTGAAGTGAGCAAGAGAAATGATTTTGAAGGAGGTGCACACATAGCTAACAAGACTGCTCAGTCAAGAGAACAGTGAGTTTCCCTCGCCTGGTCCCACACGCTGACCACAACTGTGCCTTTAGCAAAGGGTGTGCTCAGCCCAGTGCACTCAATCTCTCTCTTTTTTTTTTAATTTTCCCCTCCAGAAATGGTTCAAGCAGCGCCTGGCGGAGTGGAGGAAGTCAGAAGGGCTGCCTTCAGAGAGTGGGTCTGTCAGAGACTAGAGGATGCTGCTCCGATCCCCATGCCTGCTGTAAATGATGGTGAAGATCTTCAGAGTTGGTTTCCTTGGGGTTCTTCTGTTGCAAATAGGTTCTGAGATACAAAGTAATACTCTGCTATTTAACATGTTTTATTTAAAATGTACATAACCAGGAAAAGCATATTTTATATATATATATATATGTGTGTATATACAGCTTCTGATGGCTGCATAACCTGTCTAGTGATTCCCATCCAATTAACAGCAGCTCCACAGGGCAAGGCAACCTCATGCCCTTCTCCCAAGCTTGCAGAAAAGCAGCCATTAAAGGTTCAAACATAGAAGGGGGGGGAAAAAGATTTATTTTCCTTATGATCCCCAGTGGCAAAGTATGTGTGCTAGATTTAATATGCAGATCATCCAGAGAGGGGGAAACCTGGAAAAACAGTTGTGTTGTCTGAGTGATCTTAGTTAGCTCAAGATGCCAGAGTCAACTCTGGACACTGGCAAACCGAGTGTCTACACCACAATCAGACCAAGCCAAGCACCTCTTGAATGCATTTCTCACATTTCTGTTAAAGGTCACCAAAGGGAAAGAACTGTTTGTTTTTTTTTTTTTTTTTCTCCCAATGCATTAATAAAAAACCAAAGTTTCTTGATGAGAAGAGCTGTGTTACGTCCCTGCTTGCGCTCCTTGCCCCAGGAGCAGGAGGCAGACTCCTCTGGGAGGGCAACACTTCTCCAAGGCACCATGAGTCTTCTCTCTCACCACAGGGATAGCCTGCAGACATGGGCAATCTCCTCTTCTACAACACCCACGGGTCCATTCCTGGCAGCTCCATGCACAGCCCAAGCCCCAGGGTGGCAGAGGCTGGTGCTGCTGGGGTTCCCCCACCGGGTAGCAGGGGACAGACATCAGTGTCCTTCTGGCCATTCTCAAGCCTGAGGGATGCAGCTGCACCAAGGCTCTTGCACAAAGCCCAAACTCTTATCCATCCTGGTACAGGACAAAGCATGGGCTTAAAAATACCCAGCACCGTTACCCAGTGACCTTACCTTGTTCAAAATGGTTCAAAAATCCTCTGCTTAGTGGATTATTGAATCAATTAGTGGATCCTCTGATTAATCCTCTTCTGGTTTGTGGTCACCTGCCTCTACCCCTTTGGAAGGAGAATCAGCTTAACGAAGGGAAGATTAGGATACACTGGCATTGAAACTGCCACGTGCTTGAAAGAACCCTTATTTTTGGTTGTTCCCCTTTAATGGTACTTTTACCTATGGCTTTTGTCCCTTGCTGAAGAGCATCTCTCGTGCCTCAGTATCTCCAGCCCATTGCCAGTGGCTAGTTTGGCTAGGCTACCAAACTCACAGGAAACAGAGAAAAGCAATCTGCCTATGCCACGTCCCACACAGGCTGTGTTCTTCCCCTGCAATCCAGCTGCCAAACCGACACACCCTCAGACCTGACTGAAGCTCAAGTTTTGTTCTGCAGAGTCTGGCACTGATATCTGTTTTCTTCTTAATCTTTGCAACGTGCCTTCTCCCTTACACTGAGGAGAACTCTGCTTTTTTGAGTTAGGCTCCAAAAATCCCAGTGTAGAGCTCCATTATTCTGCCCATGGTCACACAACCGAATATCTGAACCGCACAGATTTAACCACCTGTGTAACTTGTATCAAAGATGCACGTAAAGCAAAAGGCTGGATCTGCCTCTTCTCCAGGCATTTGAGTAAACAGGCCCCAAATCCAAGCCAACTCAACACACACACCACCCCAACACTTCCAAAGTCTGTACTAAAGCTTTGCACCTTATCAAATCCAGCCCTGGATCTGGAATTTTGCAGCCTTTCGTGTTTCTACTTCTGTCACAAGCACAAAACTTTGAGCCTTACTAAGAAGATCTCTGAACTTTAGCAAAAAATTTTGAAACCCAAGGGCAGGAGCTGTGTTGCATCAACCTACTATGCGCCGTTGGCTTTGGTTTGCCACACTTCTTTATGTGAAGAAACAGTTCCTGTGCTGGCTTCCACTAGCAGTTATTTCATTACTTAACTGTTACAGAAAAAAAAAAATAAGAAGAGTGATAAGCTGCAGACATAACCCATTCTAGGGAGAGTGGCTCCGGATTAAGTAAAATTCTGCTCTTTTTCCCTGGTGATTCTTTTGCTCTTAAGGAATGACCATTTTATTTGACTCCCTAGATAAGCCCAGTAAAATTGGCTGCTCGTATGAAAGTGTTATTGCTGGGTGCTGCCTCTGCGCCATGTTCAAGGAGATTTTTCCAGCCACAGCAGAGCCCAAAGAGGGTGATGTTCCAGGGGTGATGGGGGCAGCTGGCACGAGCAGTGGGCTCTGTTTCCGAGGGAGTTCAGCGCTTAATCGGTTGAGCCAGTTCTTGGATCCGAGCAGAACAAGTTGCCTTCTTAGCAGCCTCCTTCACTGTGAAAGCGTCTGGGTTGAACTGAACAGAGCTCATGGGAGGCCTGGGGGAGTGAGGACAGAGCTGGTCATTTCCACATGGAGCAGGGCCAGCTCTCAAAGCTGCCTGCCAGCTCACACACCTCCACTTGAGCCCTGCCCTTCCCTCTCAGGGGAGGACAAAAGCAGTCACACCTCCACTGGTGCCACCAGGACACTAGTGAGAGGGGGTGACCCATCTCTCACTGAAGCTGTCACGGCCAGTACAGCCAGGCATTCCCTCACCCTTCCTGACACATCCTACCCACCATTTCCTGCAGCCCGGGCTGAGGCCAGCTGCATCACCAATGTGCTACACTGTGCCATGTGTCAGCTGGTTGCTTTTTTATAATTGTCCCAACCAGTAATTCCTACTGGAATTAGAAAGTCCCTATTTCTTCTCTTTTATTCTCCTTCCACCTCAAAAATGCTTTTCAAATCACAATCCATGTAGCATTAGCACATCCAGCCATATAAATGCCATGCATTTTGGAAGTGGAAGAGCAGTGGAAGAGCAGCTTAATCACACTGGCCAAACCCAAATCAACCAGGTGCCATGGCCTGCACAAAATGGGCTGAGAGCTGGTGATTTCCCCATGGCAGGGAAGTAGCACCCACCTTTTGCAAGGCTGGGCCAGTTCCACAAGTCTTGGTGTGGCCACTGCCTGTTTTGCAGCCTTCGTCACTGGCCACTCAGGATCTCTCAGGTGCACGTAGTCAGGGTGCAATCTTTTTGGCCGAGCCAGCTCCAGGATCCGAGGGCTTGCAACTGCCTCCTGAGCAAACTTGGAAACCTGTGGAAGAATGTGAAGGAAAGGTCCTTACAGGTGCTCCTGGCATTCAAGGGTGACCAGCCTGCAACTGAGTGTACCCAGCTTCACAGCCACCGACCACACACAGATGGTCCACGATCCTGTCCACAGCTGTATCGCTGTATCACAGAATCACAGAATCTTCTAGGGTGGAAGGGACCTTAAAGATCATCTTGTCCAACCGTCAACCTAACTGACAAAAATAGACACCTGCACCACAAACAAGGAGCATCATCACTAATCCATATCTCCTAGCACTTCATCAACCCATCTTTTGAACCCCTCCAGGGATGGTGCCTCAACCCCCTCCCTGGGCAGCCCATTCCAATGGCTGATAACCCTTTCAGTGAAAAAATTTTTCCTAATATCCAGCCTGAACCTCCCCTGGCGCAACTTGAGGCCATTTCCTCTTGTCCTGTCGCCGGTGACTTGAGAAAAGAGACCGACCCCCACCTCTCTACACCCTCCTTTCAGGGAGTTGCAGAGAGCAATAAGGTCTCCCCTCAGCCTCCTCTTCTCCAGGCTGAATAACCCCAGTTCCCTCAGCCTCTCCTCATAAGACTTATTCTCCAGCCCCCTCACCATCTTTGTCGCCTCTCTCTGGACCCGCTCCAGCACCTCAATGTCTTTTTTATGGTAGGGGGCCCAAAACTGGACACAGTACTCAAGGTGAGGCCTCACCAGTGCCGAGTACAGGGGGACAATCACCTCTGGCACCAGACGAACTGTGGAAGGAGAAATCACTGCCTGGCCAGTCCCAAAACCTGCCCTCCAGCCTCTTCTTACTCACAACCCTTTGTCCAACCCATCCTGCAGCCCTGGAGATCCCAATTAGACACTCGTCCACTTCTCCCCATCCTCACAACTGCAGCCTAGGCACAGGCCTGCCCTTCTCTGGGAAAGTCTGCTGGGAGCCACTTCACGCTCTGTATGGAGGACGAGTCCTGCTCTCCAGCCCAGGAAGCAGCTGGGTCAGCCTCACAGACAGCAGCGCACCCAGGGCTGCCATGAAGACAGCCACCAGCAACTGGGCACTCAGTGCCCTCCCCTCTGCCCAGCGTCCCTGCCGTGAGTGGTCCCGGGCAACGAGGCCTTACCGGGCGGATGACAGACTCAAGGAAGCTGTGCTCATAGCAGCAGTTCACCTTCCTGACCCGGGGCTCTGCAAGACGCTGTACCCGTGAGGATGCACTGGCCAAGGCCGCGGCAGTTGTAATCTGTGTTGGCACCTACATGGGTTCAGAATAGAGGAGGGATGTGCTGACGTGGGTTTCATCCACAGCAGCCCACAGGGAGACGTGCTCCCTCTCCAAATGGATGAGCACCTGGCACCCTTCCTCTACAGACACGGTCACATGAAGGAGCATTCTTACTTCCCCAGCACCTGTTATTTTTCTTTCACCTAACTACAAGGTAATTTTGGAAACAATTGGGATTTGTACATCTTAGCCAATATTACTTTTTTCCCCCCCACTGTCGCCCACTCATAGCCAGGAGAGGAACGCCTGTAATGAGAGCCTGTGTAGCCAGGTAAAAGTGCAGAGAAATTTTTTCCAGAGTAACAATATTATTTTTCATATTCATCTTCCTGACTGAACCAAATAAATTCCTTGCTAAGGAGAGATGCTCAGATTTCAGGGTAAAAGTACTGGTGCAGTTAACTGCATTCCTACAGCTCCAGCTTGGGACCTCTTCCCCTATTTTTCACAGGGATACTGATGCCAAGGCTTGCTCCAGCACAGCCTCCCTTATTTCCCAGCCCAGAGACTGCAGCCAGAAAACTTAGCCTTTGCCATGGAAATGAGTGTAATCTGAGATTGCCCCAAACCCTTTCACCCCTGCCAAAGCAATGACTCGCCTAAAAGGAGCAAGTTCAGAAATACATCTCTAAATTAGGCTTCTGGTAAAACACTGTTAAAATATACATAGTGTTTACAGGCTCATCCCCCCTATATACACAGATAGGAGCACAGCTGCCCAACTACAAACATGACTGTATTCCCTAGGAGCTAAACAGGCCATTCCCATCAGGGTTCTCCACGTTCCCAGGCTGCTTTATCAGGGGATGCAACCCAGATTCCTCCCTTGGCTCTCCTGCTATTCTAGGCTGCTCCAGCTTGTCTGTTTTCTGTCTCTCAGCAGGGAGATTTTCAAAGACAGCATCTCACTCCAAAAAGGCAGCTTCTCTCAGTATCAAAAACTCCAGCAGAAGCAGTCAGCTCCTTGCCTCCATAGCACACATCGGGCACACCCAGGGGCAGAATACAGGGTGGAAAAACTTGGGACAGTTTGCTGCATTGCTGCATTGATGGTTGGACTCGATGATCCCAAGGGTCTCTTCCAACCTCAATGATTCTATGATTGCTGTCCCCTCCAAACGTCACTCAACCACCTCCTCACCTCTCTGGCCATCAGGAACTCTGTGTGCAGCACCTTCGGCCGGGCAAGCTCCAGGGTCCGCGGGGAGGCCTTATGTCTCAGTGCAGCTGGTGACACGGGCCATTCAGGGGACAGGCGAGGTCTGGAAGCAGAGAGTCATGGCACTGCCACTCACAGATATTCCCCCACGCTCTTTAAACCAGGCTGCAGCTGGGATGTTTAAGCTTCATGTTCGCTTCAGTAGAAGGCAGCTTTGTCTTGTGGCCATTCCCAGCGTAGAACCCACTTCACCCACGAGAGATTCCAGAGGTCCTAATCCCAGCGTTTTGCCCTCTGTTGTACCCACCCACTGTTCCTGTATTTATTACTCTGAAGCTGCACTGATGCTACAAGACCCAAAGCCCTACCTGTAGCACCCTACAGGCTTTCTGGCCCCTCACCTTTGTCTCAGGTAAGCAGACGGGCATTTTTTCGGTTCAGACAACTTCAGCAGCCGATCAGAAGGCAAGCCAAAATTCACTCGTGGGGGGCGCTCCCAGATCACTGTTTCCCATCTAGAGCTGTACAAGAAGAGGGATGATGAAGAACAGCACAGAAGAGTTAGTAAAAGACAGCTGACAGAGAATGTAATCCTGGCAGATGGTATCCTAAGTCTGGTTAAACATCAATGCCCACTGCATGTACAAAAGTTGTCACCGGTGCACATGGAAGAGCCACGAACAAATGGGCATTTACACTTGAGATTTCCTGAATTTAAAGGTAAATGCTGTTCGCATATGAAGAGTCTTCTTTTAAACCCCCTCAGTGCATTGCTTTCAAAGTCTAGGCCATTCCAAGAAGCCACCCTACAACACAAACCTGGCATTTCTGTTGTTCAGCTCTGCAACTGCCAACTTAGAAACCTCTTTGTTGCAATGGTTTGTGCTCTTGCAGCTCCTTTCGTCTTGGGATCTCCCCAGGCTTCCCTTGTGCATGTTCATCCAGCTTTCCACCGGCCACAGCTGTTGGCAGATGTCTATCATCACCAGGAAAGAGGCGAGCAGAAAGGCAGGAAGGGCTGTCAGATGGACACCATTAGTCAGAGGTAGAAGCTCTCAGGAGGATGAGAGCCTCTAAACTGATGACAGTGGCAGAGGACAGAAAACTATAGACACATGTCTTAACATCTTTCCAGGCAGAGGAACACCAGGAGTGCAACACAGTTTCCATTCTCATTGCTAGTACTTCTTACAGACTAGCAACCACCATCCTGTCTCCAAAAGAGCTTCATCCTCTCCAACAGCACCACAGATTAGCTGATTCAAGTAACGCAGCATTACCTCGCCCCACCGAAGTTTACATTTTTTACATCACTTTTCACTCCTGTTTCCAAACATGGACTGCTTTGACTGGTTGTTCATCATGCAGTGACAGGAGAAGTTTAACTCAAGGCAAGAGACCTGGATTCCCTCTGGCCAGTAGGATGCTGCAAAATTTCTTTGTTCATAGCACTTCTGAACCTTTATCCTCAAGGTTTAGACCAGGCTTCAAGAGAATGCAGGGGATCACTAATTGTGTCCAAGTTCCTGACTGGCAACAGCAAACGCTCTAGGGACAGACAGTCCCTCTGTACACACAGGTATGACCCATACATGTTTCCATCAAGACATGCATGCATACACATGACACCTTTACTTCCAAGCTGAAGCAGAGCTGTTGCTTTGGGGTAGGTTTTTTTTTTTGTTGCAGCAGAGAAACATGTTCTCATGACCTTGGAGATGGAGATCAAGGCTGACTCTTATGGCAGCTAATGCAAACCCAGAGCTCTAACCAGCCCAGCAACCACCACGTGTTGCAGAAGCCCTTCCCACAGCCAGGAAGTGGATATGAGGAAATAAAAGGGCACCAAAACTCAGCAACTCCCATTTTTTTCTCATTTTGGCAGTCAAGCATCCAGGGTCACTGTGCTCCCACAGCACTTTCTTCCCTGCTATAGATGGCCCCTGTTCCAAGCATCGGTACAGCCTGGTGGGTCTCCGTGGCATGGAGCTCCCTGTGGGGCAGCAGTGACAGGAGAGGAGATGGCATCTCCCCTTTCCCTGGGAGACAGCACATCCCCCTGATTAGAGAGACCATCTGAGCTGTCTCCTTTCCCAGGATGTGCTACCACACCACTGACCTGCACTGGTGCCTGCTAAAACATTGCTTGGGCTTGGCCAGTGCCACTATTCTTCGGGACGGTCGAGCTGTCAAAGCACTGCGTGAGAGGGTCCAGATAGTTTCTTGGTTTCCCCACACGAACCTACCAAGAACAGAAGGGTGTGAAAGTTTAGGAACACGGACAACTGCTTGCTGGGGCTATCTGTCCCTGCCTAGGATGGGACATACACACAGTCCCTATGAGTCCCCACAGTTGTAAAGTGTTGCTGCCATCCCCTGAGCTCTCACCTTCTCTGGCACCAAATTTCCAAACACAGTCCTGTGGTTGTTGGCAACTCAAAAAGGAAAGAGCCTACAACTGATGACTTTGGTTTTACAGTTCCCAGTGGATGTGCAGAAAGGGTCGTTTCATTATATCTCTGAAACCCCTGGGGGAGTTTCATGATTGCGTTTTTCTTGCCTCACCATTACCAACTAACTATACCACAGGTATGACAGCAAAAATAATAATAATGTTACGGTCAGGGTGTGCCATGGAAAGTGGGTGAGGTTTTGTAGCAGTTAGTGGTTACTCTCCCGCGCCCACGGCAAATTTGGAGTTGCTCTTCCCCCACCGAGAGAGAGGACATGGTGGTAGAAGGTACCAGGGCAGTCAGGACAGGGATCAGCAGGATGATTGGTTTGTGGAGCCTTTTTCAAGCACCATCCAGACAGCGGAGAAGAAATGTTAGCAAGAGACTGTTGCCCTGGCTTGTCAAGCCATAGATTTTTTTGGAACCACTTCTGTTCTTGAGAGGAAAGCAGTAGAAAGACAAAGGCAAAGGGTCTGCACCTGCTGAGCCAGGTCTGTCTGGGCACCTCCTTACCCGCGATTGTTTGGACGAGCCGCTTTCTTGGGTTCTGCAAGTTCTTGTATCCTGTCAAAATTGTAGAAAAGGATAAACATGCCATTAAAAATACAGTTAAACCAATGAAGCATAAAGGATCTACTGGCTGTACTCAAAGCCATAACACATCCTTGAACCCTCATGCCTTTGCGAGGCATGCCTTGCGAGAGTGCATTTAAGGGATCCCTCTCTCCAAGTAATTTTCCATTGATTTAATCTGGTGAACTCATCAGCCCACAGATTTTTGTGCTATCTCTCGGATTGCAGAGGCATGAATTTGCAATTCTGCCCTCACTGCAGGGTCCCTTTGGGACACGGCAGGGAGAGAGGGAAGGTACTTTTCTGGTTAATAACATGCCATGCAACCCCAGCAGGTAGGAGATGGATTATCTCCCAGCCTACAGGAGCCCAGAAGAACAGAAACACCTGTTATCAACACTCTTGTGGTTTACTAAAAGGCACCATGGAGACAGCACTGTTCCCACATGGCTTTAGAAGCATGGGAGAAAACAATTTTTTTTTACTTATTATCTTATTTCAGTCCGTCTAGCCCAGAAATCTTAGATGCTACAGAGACACAGGAATATATATGGTCTGTGCCCTAGGAGTGGCACTGAAAATGTTTTTACTGAATATTCATCAGACCAAAACTCTTCAGGAACGTCAGATATCGCTGTCTGCTCCTGCTGCTCAGGTGTCCCAGGCCTGAAATCCCAGTGGCTGGGGAGCACTTGTGCTTTGTAAGCCTTGGTACAAAGAGAAGGACAAGAAAACACCAGTGCCACAAGCGCATTGCAGAACTCCCTGGTGTCACAGACCAAGCCCACACACACCTCTTGGGGCTGCATGTGCCTGCCCCCAGCCAGCTGGGGAACAACCACACGATGCAGGCAGCTGTGGAAGTGCCCCACCATGGAAAAAACAGAGAAGGTAAAAGCCTGGGGCATCGCTTCCCTGCTTAGTATCACCCAGCAATAAGGCAGCATAGCCCTAGAGAAGAGCGGGGACACCAACAGAGAAAGATGTTTGCTGACAGAAAACAGTCTGTGCTTGGGGGACACGCCTGTGGTTACTCTGATGGGGCCGATACCTCTAGTGAGATGCCAAGCCCCAGAAAACACTTTCCAGAGAGCTCAGCGCCACTGAGACCCTTGCAATGGCAGGCTGCTGTTAGAGCATCCTCACCACACGCTCCCTGCGAGATGCCTGCTGATTTATCTTCTAACCTCTGGTCACAACACCGCAAACACGGCTCCCACTGAGATCCCACAGAGGGAACTAACTGCCTCTGGGACCTTGGCTCCCTGCCGCCAGTTCAAGACAGGACACGCTCAGGAAGGCAGCCATCACTTCAGGAGCCAAAAACCAGTTTCAGCTGTTCACTCCCAAACAGCTCCCCAGAGGCTTTTCCTTGCAAAGGTGCAAGGGGGTGAAGGGTTTCCATGCAGATGTGTGTCCTCCCCCCCTCCAGCCTAGCTGTGTCACAGAGCTGGCACCCTCTCCCTGCAGGCAGGCTCATCGCTTTTGCTCCACCGATGGCACAGATCCACCACATAGCCACAGCCAAACCAAGCACAAAGTGCACGTGGCCCTAGTGCCCCACACCATGGGCTTGGACACTGCTGAGCAAAGCTGGCTTCATGACCCAGCCAAGGGACGAGTTACGCATATGTTCAAATCAGGTCCCACAACTCGCTTGACAGTGATTAAGGCTGGGTTTTTTCTCCAATTACAAAAAAAAAGAGAGGCTTTTTAGTCTTTTATCATAGGAAAAGCAACAGACAGAAAGGCATCCCCACACAGGATGCATCTGCAGCAGCTCTGCAACCTGAAGGAGTTAAGCCACCCCACTGACAAAGGGACAGCCCTCGGGGAGACTTTGCCTTTTGGTCCTACTCCTGCTTCCTAGCAGGGGAAAGGATGCCTGGCTGCAGCCAAGCACAGAAACACCTCCCGTCCGCTGCCTGAGCTCACACAGACTCATTGCTTCAGGGAGTCCAACTCCCTTTGAGATCAATTCCTTGTAAAGCAAAGGGTCACAGCTTCTGTTTGGAAGGGGCAGGATGGTCAGAGGCTGTTTGTCATGAGAAGCAGGGGGAAGGGCAAAACCAGGCATCATTTCCTCGGTGTGTTCATCACAGTGTCATCCGATATATTGACTCACCGCCCAGCGTAAATCCCCGAAGGAGCCCTCCCCAAGAGACGTGGGGCATGGCCTGGACCTCCAGAGGAGGCTGGGGCTGGGAGGGTTTCTTACCTGTCGTATGAGCGTGCAGAGAAGTAACAAGACACTGCGAAGACAAGAAGAGGCCAAGTCAAACACTTGTTAACACCTGCAGCCTGGGCGGCCTGCTCTTCAGCCTGAGATAACAACAGGGCAGATGAAGCTCGTCCATCTCCTTAGGACGCAGTTCCCTGGCCGTTATTGGTACTGTTTTTGCAGGGTCCCCCCCCAGCGTGGCAGCACAAGGATGCACTTGCCGGTGAAGCGCTCCTCTCGGGGGGCTGTGCCTCACCAGGGGGGTGCCAGCAGCCCCTCCAGCACCATGTCTCCCCTCACCACCATCCTCCCCCTGGGACGAGCACCAGCGGCCGCTGCTGATCCACAGGCTCCCACCCGGCTCGGCGCGGCTACCCCTTATTACCACCTTCGGTAGCCTCAAGAGGACATTTTGAGAGCCCCGGGGGAGCCGCGGCTGTACTAAACCGGGGCTCCACAGCAGTACGAAACAAGCCGCCGTGCTTAACGAGGAGGGGCGAGGGAAACCACAGACGCGGGGACACCGGCGCTGTGGGGAAACCGGGGGCCATTTCGAGGACCGACCTCCCCCCCCCCCCCCCCGCCCCGGCCATGGCGGCCCCGCCGCTGAGGGAACCCCACCGGTTCCTGCCTCCTCCGCGGCCGGGCCCGGGAAGCCGCCCGTCTGCGGGGGAAGGCTGGGGAGGGGGCGGCTAGGCACCCGGCCCTCGCAGAGGGGGGGCAAAGACCAAGGGAGGCCTGGAGGGTCCGGCGGCAGCACGCCCTGCGCGGGGAAATGAAGCCCAGACCACCGGTTAGGGTAAAATTGTCTGCTTTATGCACCCGTTCCAAAGGACACAACTATAAAAAACCCCCCAGTACAATAAACGCGGTTGCAAAACAGGTCCTTTACAGAACTGGAGTGTGATGAGGTGGACACACCGGGAGGGTGACAGGCGTCAGCAACTCGCCTTCCTCACCTGCTCACTGACAGACAGCGCTTTCACAAAACAACAGGCTTTCCACGTGTGAGAGCGCTTGCTCCAGGGCAACCTGGACTAAACTGAAATAAGCCCCTCAGCTCGATGGAGGAGTCTCTCATCCCTGGTGCCAATTTAACTTAAATGCCTCCGGTCACTACCTCAAATTACACTGTTTTGGCTTTCCCCTGTAGGCAAAGAAACACTGAATGTCTTAACTGCTTTCATTTTCTAGTTCTTACCCACAAAATAAGCAGTAACCAACCCAATTTCCAGAGAATACTAATTTGACACTTCCTTAAAAGCTGGCTCCACTACAGCACAACACAAATCGTCACTGCCAAAAATACTAGTCTCGGCACTTTAAATTGCTGACACCGTCAAGAGGTGAGGTCTCATTTTTAACAGAACAACACTGTTAAGAAGGTTCTGTAAAACCTGTGAGGTAAACATATTTCAATTTAAGCCTGAGACACCAAGCCAGGTTAAATTCACCGGGTACAACGTCGTTCCACTGAAGTCAGTGCTTGATTCCCACCTAGCAAGAAGCCACCTCAGCCCATCTAAGCTATACATCCCCTTACTTCTGCTGCCTGAGAGACTAATTTATCCCTATGAATACGCTAAAAAATAGACTACTCTTCAAATGCGTTTTCAAACTGCTATAAATTAGATTTTCTTACCAACTAGAGATCATTTTCAGAGGAATTCCACACCCACAAGGAAAAGATAATTGTACATTTCAGTCACCACACAGAAATCTGACCATACACTAACACCTCATCCCCCTCCGCTGCAAATATCATGATGTAGGAAAAGAGGTGTCACTGTGCTTCCAGAACCAGCTGCGCTATCAGCTCCTTGGCATCCTTCATGCTGGAGGAGATCTCAGAGCCGTCCTCTGCCACATGGGTACCAATCAAGAACATCTTCCTCTCGTCCCCAAGATCAGACAGTGCCAGAGCATCGTGGATATCGGTGATGCAAAACGCACCTTTGAGGTCCTGATACAGAAAAACAAAATGAACCCATTAGATGCAAGAGGTGACGGCACCATTCCTGCACCACAAGAGGAGGCAGCACCATTCCTGCTTGGAGCCACTGCCTTTGTCCAGGGAGAAGGGTCTCAAGAACGCTGGGGGCACCATTCTTCTGTACTTTCTAGGAGACCAAGTTCCCATGCCCTAAAATGCTTTGGTGAAAAAAAATAATATGTTTATGCTTAACTTAATTTCTTTCCAAAGAAATAAGGGTACTGTTCTGTTTCTAGTAATGGCAGTGTTTCTGATAATAATGTAAGACTACCTGTACAAGGCAGACAAAAGTCTTGCTGGCCCAAGACCCCAGCACAGAGTTACAAGAACAGGGCAAACATACAACAGTCATTCCCTGTGTACCTTCTCAGCCACCAGTGTTTCTGACTCCAAGACCTAAAGTATCTGTAGTAGCATCTGTGTTTGATGATGCCAAAGCCTGCACTTGCATCCAAAAGCAATACAAAAAACTACTAGTAACATGCCTTAGTTACTACAAATCTAGGAGGTAATAACATAGAGCAAACCTGGGTTTAAATGCCCTGGGTTGTTCTGCTTTCTGACCGTGCCACAGGCACAATACTATTCAGAGCACAGTACCAGTCACTGACACTTCCACAAAGATCTTAGGAGAAAGCACCCCCTTGTGAAGAAAGCGTCTCTTCTCTCATGCTTCAGCAACAGCCTTAGGAGCAACCAACCAGACAATGTGAAGGCAAAAAACGGTGCTTCGCTTTGCGGCTGCTGCTAGTTAAATGGTACTTCTAGACAGACATTCGGAACAGAAAACTAACTCCAGGTCCAACTGTGGTCTCCCTTGCAGCTCTCAAACCCTACAACATTACAGTGGTTCCCACCATTATTTCCACCTACAGCTCTGACTGCACTGTCTCTGACCACAGGACCTGCACCTTGCACATCCAAAACTCAACCTCAGATCATTTTACTTTGCGGCCAGCAGATGTCCCAGAAAGACCCCCAGCCATGTGGCCCCCTTGAAGGCATGCAGCCTCCTTTGAAAGGCTTTGTTGCTATTTTCAGAGCTGCTGCCAGCCCAAGCCCAGCTCGCAGGAGGGAACTCTTACCTGCTTGTTGGCCAGAACCACCACCGGCAGGGTGGAGTTGTTCTGGATCAGTTGATGAAGCAGCTGTTTCGCCACAGGCAGTCGGGCATGATCAGCCGAGTCCACGACATAGATTAGCAACAGGACTTTGGGCAGGTACATCTTCCAGTATGAACGCAGAGATTCACTGCCCCCAACTGGAAGAGAAGACAGCAGCACAGGACTCACCACCTAATCCAAGCAGCACTGCTCCCAGAGGTGCAGACAGCAGGCACTGTGTCTGAAAACCCACAGTATTTGGGTTACCAAAACCTCAAAGTATCAGGGCCACTGTATATGAGACTGGAAATAGCTTTATTTTCCCCAGTAAAGTCCCACGCAGGCTTATGTGTATGCTTTGTGGGGGGGGAAGGAAGAAAAAAAAGAAGTCTTTCCATTTTAAACTCTTATTTTGAGAGGTTTCTGCTTTCAGTTTCTTTATGGTTGATTTCTGCCTCGTTGGTTCTTTCTCTCAAGCTAGTAGGGAGAGCAGAAAAAGGTTCAGCATCCATAAACACCATGTAAAAATGTCCCCATATAGCCTATCTCCTCCGCACACCCATCTTATCTCAAGACAAAGCAGGCCTACAACTGCCAAAGAAGAAATTTAACTCTGAGGTAGGGAGGGCTCTCATCAGATTTGTATGACACTAGGGACTAGTTCAGAACTCCCACAGCTTTCATACTGTCAAAAAACATAGGTGCTTAGGAAGAGAGAAAAATCAAGTCCCAGCAGACTCTTCAGGCAATCCTGAGGCGATGGGTGAAATCTTTGCACAGGATACATTTCTACCTGACCCCTTCTCTGCTGCATGCAGAAGAAAGCTGTCCACCCTCAAAACCAGGTCTTACAACAATTCTGTGGTGAAACCATATGCAGCAAGTTGCCTGAGATTGTTGTTCCCATCCGGTGACAAAAAGAGCTTGGTAGTTTGCTGAGTCTAATAGGAGCAGGAGTACCAACAGTATATTCGTATTTCAAATGTGCTTTCAGTTCTCCAGGCCGTCTCCTAGGTACGCTGCAGAACCAAGAGTACTGAGGTGCTCAAAAGGCATGAGCGAGTCCTCCAAATGCAGCAAGTTTTCAAAGCAATACATTTGGGGTTCCCTGTAATTGCCTCCTGCCTTTGACAGGAGCTCTTTTCAAAGCTGACTTGATCGTCAGCCTTCTTTTACTGCCCTCAGCGACTTTGCTCTGTTTCAAAGCAATTTCGCTTTCACTTAGGTCAAAATGATTCAGTAGTTTCGGGGACGTAGAAAAGGAAGCAACATTTCCCTGCAGGGGAACAGGAAAGCAGGCCTGACTCTTCTTCAAGAGCCCCAGCGCATCTGCAGGCAGAAATGCAACTCTGCCACTGCAGAGAGGAACCAAAGGGCTGCAACTGACACGTCGTGTTTGGGACAGATGTGTCTGATTCTGTACTGTGACACTGTGGGGGCTCCCCACCATTCCCTTTGTTAAGTGCATTCATGCATAGCATAACCCAGGGGTCAGCAACCTCACAGAGAACATTTTTCTTTCCCAAACCAGTAGGAACTCAGCAGAAGCCAGGAGCTCCTATCCCTTGCAAAGGGCAAGATACCACCCGCTTACCTACATGTTGGTACACAGCAAAAGACAGAACAGTCTTCTACCTGTCTAAGCCAGCAAAACAAAAACCCTGCTGTCTGCTGATCATCTTGTGCCACATGATCCCAGCACAGCCTGCTAACCCCTGGGCTAGGCGATGGTACAGACTGGATAAGTAACCAGATTAGAGAGCCATGCACGGATTTACCTGGCTGTAACTGGCCTGAGACATTTCATTTCCCATGGGTCAGATCGCAGCCATCACATCTCAGTCACTACCAACCTGGACCAGAGAGGGAAGGACGACTCAGAAACAACAGGTTCTCCCGTGGGGCATGCAGCACTGGGCCCAAGCCACCCCCGGGCAGGAGCAGAGATACTGGGGGTTCCTCTGGGCTCAGCTAGGCAAGGAGCTCAGGTCCCAGCAGGAGACACAGCTGTCTCACACCTACTAGGAGAGGAGCATGGACTACAAGCACCTCTGGAGAGATGACTTCCCCAAGACACCACAGAGACTCCTACAGCAGTAAGACTGGGAATGAAACTCCATCTTAGCAGCCTCATCCTCATATCCCAAAGACTTACCTGGGGACAGCACAACTCCTTTAGGCCTGCTGACAAAGGTATGGAGGTGTCCTTGGGCCAGTCAAGCACTGGTACAGCACAGTGCAGAAACAGCAAAGGGCAGCTTCTGCCTCCACAGAAGGCAGGCACTGATGAGGCCAGGGTGTCAGCCTCTCTGTACCAGGGACTGACCTGACCCCAGGGACTCCACCTTCCCTATCAGCTAGCTGCACCTAGAACAGCTGTGACACCCCAACAGCATCACAGGAGATGCTCTCCGCAGACGCAGACAATACCCAAAGATCAGTGCTAAGGACAACACAGAAAGTTTAATGAAAACCTGCAGGCATTCAAAAGCCGCTAAAGACTAGAAAATAATACTTATGAGGCTTTTGAACAAAAAGTGTACAAAATTTTTCTTCCTCTCTTCTTTCGCTTTCTTATTCCTCTTTTGCTCTAGTCCTTTGCCAGGCATTAGCACCAAGGAGAAGCTGGACAACACACAGTAGCTACAGACCACAGCACAGGGCTTACTGGGGACACCTCTGCTTTGGGTGGTTTCACACAATCAGACTTGTTACCTCCTCTCTCTGGAGGAGATCTCCCTAGAGGACAGGCTTGAACGAACACAGACCTCCTCTAACACCAGCATACTATCTCCTTCAAGAAGTGGGACAGCAGAATCCCCAAAGAGAAATCCCCAAAGAGAAAATAACCACAATTTCATGTTATCAGGGCGGGCACGAGGGAATATGAAGATTTCAAAATATGGGCCTGATCCCTAGGGCACTGGACAGGAACTTATTTTGTGTTCTGCACTAAACCAGGTTCACTCACTCTCCAGGAACTCCATCTGGGACTCTTCGGTGTTGATGCAGATGGCGTTGAAGCCCTCGGTGGGAGCCACGCTGCGCTTGACGTGGTTCGTTGCCAGGGAGTGGAGAACGCTGGTCTTCCCGGCCCCATCCAGGCCCAGCACCAGGATCTGCTTGCCGTGTCCTTTACCCTGCGAAGTGAGGGGCAGCAGGGTGAGCCGGGCAGCCGCAAGGCTTAGCCGGGCTGGGGGAAACAAGGAGACGAGACGAGGGGTCCGGAGGGGACAGTAAAAGCCACTTCACGGGGGAGAGGGATAAGGTGCCTGCTGGGCTCCTGCCGCACACAGCCAGGCCCGCTAGAGAGGCGGAGGGGAGCCAGGGACGGCCGCCGGCCCGACCGCAGGCAGCCGGGGAGGAGGGAGGAGAGAGGCCTGGGCCTGCCCGCCGGGCCCGGGCCCCGCCGCGCTGCCGGGGAGCGAAGAGGGGGCCGGCGGGGCCCGCTGACTCCCAGGCGGCCGCCGGCGGTTCCCTCGGCGCTCCCCGACCCGGCGGCCTCGCCCGCTGCCCCAAACCCGGCCCCGGTACCTGATCGGCGGCACTGACGGCGGCAGTGAGCGCGGCCGGCGC